TAAAAATGGCTGATGGACAAAGTTATTTTACAGTAAGTTTTCACAACCAGATAAGACCTCTTCATGTGGATATAAATACCACACTTCCCACAGTTCCTCTAGCAAAGAACATATTTCGCAATAGAAATAGGAGCTTTACAAAGCATCTTTTAGATGTCTTCCCAAGCAATTCCTTCAAGAAACTCATCCCAGTCACCTCCCCTTAATAGGAAACTTATTTCCCTTTAGATTTGCCTTCTCTAAATGATTAGCTCTGTGCCACTAGCCTTAGGAAGCTGCTGCATAACCATAAGAAAAGTGTAAATATTAAGGCCATGCTGTTCTTTCTGAATTTCTGTTCTTGAAACTATTGAGTTAAGGAGGCATGGGCAGGACACACACTAGAAGGTTTGCTGTCCTTTAGGGAGTCACATGTATAATTGATGTTCTAAATGTAAAAGAAAGTACTTCGGCTCTCCATATAGTCTGGATCCATCAGGGTCAAAGAGTAAGAAACCTGATCAGGTATAGCAGAGAAGGACCTGAAGTATACAATGGAGATTTTTTCCAGGCAGTAACATTTATCACTGTTACATATCAGACTGTAGATACCATAGGTCCCACCTAAACATAGGGGTTTAGACTCAATTCATAAAGCATGTATAACGTTAGCATTCCTCTAAATCTAAAAATTACAAAATTAACAGCAAATGTATAGACCAAAATAAATTGGTTTGATGATGTTATGTCTCACATTTGTTTGTGAATATTTCTTGAAATGCACATTGATGTACAATAAATTGTGGGCTTCTCTTTATTTTATTTTTTTGTTGGCCTATATGATATAAGGTAACTATTTTCTCAGTGTGTTTGGAATTTTTATTCTTTCTTTTATGGTCAGAGCTTAAGATTTTGGTTTAATTCCCCACAGGTGATGCCACTGTTTGCATATCGTGGGCTCTTTTACAGTCAACATTTGCTTGCTGAACAGAGAACAGAGTGGCCACTGTCAGTATCCTTAAATAGACAGCAAAGAATGACACCATTTTGGAGGATGGTTGGAAGCAAACCTTTAGGAGCATACTGCCACCAGGGGCTGGAATGTACTTCCAGGGTTTGCAGGTATGAGTGAATCTCATTAAATAAGCAATTATTTGCTTAATTAGTAATGGCTAACTATGAAGTTTTGGTTAATATTAATAGCTCACTATATGATTTTGTAAGAAGTTAAGATACAGGACTGTTCTACACGTCTGCATTACTCCATTGGTGACCACACAAGGAAATATTTCGGCTGGGAAACTGTCTGAATTACTTGTTTTGCAGCTACTTTAGGCAAAACTTGTTCTTACACTGACTTTTTTATGGTTTATTGGATAGAAGAGCAACAGATGGAAAGCTCTCTTACACACCCCTCCAACCACCACATTTCTGTAGATTACAGAGCTTTTCAACCCTCATTCTAGAAAATCTGATAGCTTGTGTCCAGATACGCGTAGAAAGGTCATCATGTTTTCAGTGTAGTAGTTTATGACAGACTTTACAGATTTCCTGACACTGTACAGCAAACCATGCTCCTCTGTTTTTCTCTCAGCAGTGGCATAACAAGAAACCACCAGGCCCCAGTGTAAAAATTGCCCTGGGCCAGCCATGTGTCTTATCCCCCCTGCCCTTTCATGTGTCTCATTCCCTCCCCCCAGCACCTCAATGTGTTGCATTTCATCCCCCTCAGCTCCTTAATGTGTCTCATTCACTCCCCCTCAGCTCCTCAATGTGTCTCATTCCCTCCCCCTCAGCTCTTCCATGTGTCTCATCCTCCATGTGTCTCATCCCACCCAGGTTATCTTATTATTACCCCCTAGACCGTTCATGTGTCTCATTCCCTCTCTCAGCCATTCCATGTGTATCATTCCCTTCCCCCCAACCCACCATGAGTCTCATGTCCCCCCATGTGTCTCATTCCTGCCACCCAGGCCATTCATGTGTCGCATTGCCTCCCCCTTCAGGTGTCTCTCACTCCTCCCCTCCTGTACCTGTGGAACCCGGTCTGACAGGACGTGCTCTCCCAGTGAGAACTTCCTGTCAGACCACAATCCACTCAACCGCGCTACACACAAGAGCAAGAGGAGAGCTGACGTAATTGTTGCCACGGTCGCAGCTACAGCCGGGCCCCCTGGAGTGATGTGCCTGGTCGCAGCTGCAACCCCTGTGATCATGGTAGTTATGCCACTGTCTCCCAGGGATATTCACTCAGCTTTAGACTTTACTGGAGCTGGAACAGAGCAGATCAAAACCAGTATTTTTACCAAACATAGCCATGCATGCATGGTCACCAGGGCTCTGTCATCCAAAAGAAAATCTTTAGGAAATGCTCATAAAGACTGTGTTTTAATTTAATTGAAATTTTAGTGCAGTTAAAATATATAATAAATAATGTTGGGACTATTTATGGTAAATCTCTAGCTTGACAACACTTGTCAAGATTTGTCACTTCCCGCAGTCACTAGATATTGCTATGGGTTAAGGATGCATTAATTCCTTACGAGACAATATCTGTGGAGGCTCCAGTGGGATCCTCAATTGACATCAGTGTTGTACTCTTGGATGAATCACTATCAACTGAAGATCGAAAATGGCACAATTTTGGTGGGCAGTACCAGTTAAGTATAACTCACCTCAGCTTAGTGGCCTATGGGGGTGCACATCACACCCGGGTGACCCCTTTTATAAGAATGACACCACCAGGCAGGAACTTACTCATCTTTCCACAATGGTGTCATCTCACATGCGGGAACAGCTGCGGCCACAGCGTGATGGATTAATTCCTTGAGGCACATCACTGTATGCAGGACACTGCGTGCGTTCCTAGATTCTGGTGGTTACCTTCCTTGCAGCATGGGTGACGCCTGTGCTGAGCTGAGCTGCCTCCTCCCTGCCTGCAATTTTCTCTGTCCAGCTGGACCCTGAGTTGAGGAGTTGGAGTCCTCCTAAATAAGTTGCAGCCGGCCGGTTCCTAATCCTCCTTCCTGACTGTACAATACTATAGTAAGTTTGTTGTGTGATATTATTATTATTAAAGTGAACAATAGAGAGATTTTTTTTTCATACTGTCCTCTTCTGGGACAGTCCTAGAGTAAAAGAAAAAATGTATCTGCATTGTGCACTTTAATAATATATGATGTGTGTGTAACAATATTTTAATATATACAATGTGTTAGTTTAACAATCCCAGTGACTGTGTCTAAGTCTGTCCCTCAAGCCACTGGGATTGGTTATGCATGCTCTGGGAGCTGTCTTAACTTCATGTGTATAGTTGTCTTTTTTAGGCATAGGTGGCTAACACCCCCCCCACCCCCCCTTTATTGCACCCTCCCCAGTAAGACACGGACACAACTAAGTGTTGGATTACATTTTTCACAGCTTTAATAAAAAAATTCACAACATTCACAAATAAGGTCATTGTCCAACATCCCGGAACAAAACCCCTTAAACTCCATCCATCCCCTATTTACCCCTTGACATTGACCCCACAATGTACATTACCGTATTTTGACACTGTTGACCATCGACATATAAAAACAGCCTAAGAAGGCACCATTTTGGCATACCTAAGACCCAACTGACACCACCATCTGAACATCACTCTCACAGAAACCTCCAATGTCTTGACCTAGAGCATTTCTCCACTAATCTCCTTTAACATATCTCAAACCTCACCTGTCCTAGTTCTGCAACCTCCTTCTACAATTCCACCCTCTCCTCTCAACTAGACATCATGGCACCTTGTACATTTAAACGCCGCAGGCCCCCCCAACAACAACCCTGGCACACCAAGCTCACTCGATACCTCCAAAAATGCTCCAGAACCGCTGAACGCTGTTGGAGAAAGTTTCACTGTGCATCTGACTTTCTCCACTATAAATTTATGCTGAACTCATACAGCTTGGCTCTTTCCTCTGCAAAAGTTAATTACTTCAATACTCTCATAACCACACTCTCCCGCGAACCCAAACGACTATTTCACACATTTAACTCTCTTCTTCGCCCAGCTGTTCCTCCTCCACCTACTAACTTGACCGCCTCAGACATTGCAACTCACTTTACTGACAAGATCTCTACAATCAGAGAAGAGATATCTCATCTTTCTTCTTCTCCTTATAATACTTCCCCTAACTTCACTCCCTCTGCTGTTCTATGTCATTCGCACCCCCTACATTGGAAGAAGTTTCCGCTCTGCTCCAGTCCTCCCACCCCACCACCTGCTCCCTAGATCCAATTCCATCGCATCTCATCCGTACTCTGTCTTTTTCTCTTTCTCCACCTCTCACTAAAATTCTCAATCTCTCCTCTGGTATATTTCCATTGCCCTTCAAACATGCAACTGTAACCCCAATTCTAAAGAAGCCCAATCTTGACCCTAACTCCCCATCCAACTATCGTCCTATCTCGCTACTGCCTTTTGCATCCAAGATCCTTGAAAAAATTGTGTATGCGAGATTGACAGACTTCCTCGAGTCCAACTCTCTGCTAGACCCGCTTCAGTCTGGTTTCCGCGCTAAGCACTCTGTGGAAACGGCACTGACCAAAGTATCCAATGATCTACTCGCTGCAAAATCTCGTGGTCACTACTCTATCGTAATTCTCCTTGACCTGCTGTGGCTTTTGACACTGTTGATCATCAACAGCTTCTTCTCATCCACCGCAATATCGGTCTACAAGATACTGCTCTCTCCTGGTGCTCCTCCTACCTCTCCCAGCGCTCTTTCAGTGTTTCTTTCTCTGGCTCTGCTTCTTCTCCCCAGCTCCTCTCTGTTGGTGTCCCCCAAGGTTCATTCCTTGGTCCCCTACTGTTCTCCATCTATACTGCCTCCCTTGGTAGCTCCTTTGGCTTCCAATATCATTTCTATGCAGATGACACGCAAATCTACTTGTCCTCTCCTGATCTCTCCCTGTCCCTCATGACTAGTGTCTCTGACTGCCTCTCTGCTGTTTCTAACTGGATGGCTGCCCACTTCCTTAAACTAAACTTGACCAAAACTGAAATTCTGGTCTTTCCTCCCTCAAGTGTTGCTACTCCTGTGTCTGTCTCCCTCCAAGTCAACGGCGCTACCATCAGCTCCACCACCCAGGCTCACTGCCTAGGTGTTCTCTTTGACTCCGACCTCTCCTTCAAGCCTCATGTTCAATCTATCGCCAAATCCTGTCATTTCCATCTAAAAAACATTGCTCGCATCCGCCCCTACTTAACGCCAGATGCGACTAAGGTGTTGGTCCATTCCACTGTCCTTTCTTGCCTTGACTACTGTAATCCGCTTCTCAGTGGTCTTACGTGCTCATCTTCCTGTCCGCACGCACCTCCCATGCCTCACCCTTCTGTTAATCCCTACATTGGCTTCCGATAAAATATAGAGCTCAATTTAAAATTCTGGTTCTTGCTTTCAAATCTCTACATAATGCTGCTCCCACCTATCTATCCTCCCTTATACACAAGTATGTCCTGTCTAGGCCCTTACGATCTGCTGAAGACTTACGTCTATCTTCTGTCCGTACTCCCACCTCTGATGCTCGCCTTCAAGATTTCTCGAGGGCTGCACCGTTCCTGTGGAACTCGCTTCCCTCCTCCATTAGATGCTCACCCAGTCTCCATTCCTTCAAAAAATCGTTAAAAACCCACTTCTTCATAAAAGCGTATCCATTAAACTGTTAATAGCTCCTGACTGATTCCTCTTCTGCAACTGTCATTAGTCTAATACTATCCTTACCTTTTTGTGTCATTTTACCCCACTCCCTCTAGCATGTGAGCTCATTGAGCAGGGCTCTCAACCCCTCTGTTCCTGTGTGTCCAACTTGTCTAGTTACAACTACATGTCTGTTCGTCCACCCATTGTAAAGCGCTGCGGAATTTGACGGCCCTCTATAAATATCATAATAATAATAATAATAATACAGATCCAAACCGTAGGGGTATACCGGGATACCTCTACACCTCCAGGTTCAGAGCCACCGACAAGCTTGAATCTACCAATAACACACATAATACTTCTCAGTAACAAAACAGTTATTTCCCATCCCAGATAACCCCATTCACCCCAATTTTCTTATTTAACCCCCTCCCCCGATACAGCTATGTGCTTGACAGCCTTAAGCCATCTGAGCGTCAACCCCCCCTAATGCTCCCCCTGCCAGGATAGCGCAAGTTCCAAGCCCTCTTGAAATCCCAGATTGAGAAACTCATTGCCTATGTCTGAAAGATGCACTCCATCTTTCATAAAATATCCAGGGAGTATGTCTTCCAGCTCTACATGCCTAACTACTATGCCCCCACTACTGATGAAGACTGACATCAACTTGTTCACCTTGCGACAGCTACCATCTCGGACCAAATAATAACCACAATCGGAACAAGGCCTCGTAACAGGTCCATATCCCTTTTCATGTAACTGACCAAGTCCCTCTAAGGAATAAGCCCAAGATCATTACCCCCCGCATGAATTAACACCATGTCTGGCACATGCCACATACCCATTCTATTAAAAATTTCCAAACTGATCTGTCTCCACCCCGCACCCCAAAAACCAAACAATTTCAACTCAATCAAGGCCCGTGGAAAGCCCAGCTGTTGTACCCGTGGTCGAACTGCAGCTCTCCTCTGTGCCCAGTAAACGAAAGAGTGGCCGACCACTCATGCAACCCCACCTAAAAAATTAAACAAGTGTCTCTTCGAAAAATCCCTTCAGCCACCCCGCTTCCCATCCGACCAACCAATGTACCTATTCCACAGACGTAAATATTTTTTTTATTTTTTACTATTATATACATCCCTGATACTTACACTAACCGATAGGGCCGCACAGAAGACCGGAATCGTATTTTCTCACCTTCGATCCGCTTAACTAATTGTTCCCCAGAACCCAAGCGGACGGCCTCTGTCGCTGCTCCAATCCGGAAAGAATGTGTGCCGAATTACTCCGGATCTAACCCCATGCCCTGCAAGCCCAACCGGAAATCCCTGAGGAACTGGAATCATGACAATGATGACCCGTCTTCATGCCACAAGAAAGAACCCCCAGCTTTCGACCGTGCGTTCCGATAAACTAATGCACAGTAAACCGGGCACATGCTCGACCCCTCCAATGAGAACAAGGTGATTGTGCAAGCTTTCCCAAAAATGTCAGTTTTTGAGCAACACAACCGAATGGTAACCTGATCCTTACTCACGACCACATCAGCCATTTGAATGCCCTTTTCCCCGTACCGATTACCAAGAACCAATTCCCCAATACAAAAGGTTTCAAAGAATGCCCATACAAAAGCAACTGTAAACAACAGAGCCTCATAATTCAAAACAAAAATATGCTCTGTAAACCACCAATTAAGCCCTGTAAAATCTCAAAGGATACTGGTTTACGAGAATCTACAGATCTCTTGCCTTTCCTAAAACCCTTCAACTCCTGTCTAACCAAAAAATGCTTAGTCAGATCTGCCCGGCCATTCATCTTAAACAAGAACGCTAAAGCAGCCATGTTCCGATCTACCGCTGATGGGTATGCCTGTGCAGCGAATAACTGACAAAGAAACCACAGTAACATATCTAAGCACTTCTCCAAAGAGCCATCCCCCCCCCAGTCCCAGCTACCGCTTCATCCCAAGTATTCCAGACCTTCACATAAGCCGCCCAGATACTGGGTGCCTAAGACTTCCTTATGAGTCCTCAAAGCAGGATGTCCCGAGTTGCCACATTTCGTCCGGGCAAGCTGATCCCTCGACCTGTGACCCTAGAGCAGCCATACGAAAATCGCTCCCAATGCAAAAGAGAGAGTGCATCCGCGACCACATTCAAATACCCCGGCACATGGTGTGCCCTGAAAACAATATTCAGCGACGTGCAAAGTAAGACAAAATGCTGCAGTAGCGGAAAAGCAGGTATGGAGGAAGCAGTCATATGGTTGACCCAGTGTCAACAACCGACATATTGTCTGTAAAAAAGATTACCTTTTTATTTTGCAGCAGATCCCCCTACAAAACCAACGCAACTACCAAGGGGAATAGTTCAAGAAATGTTGAAGTTGCGGATAAGTGCCCTCTCTTTCCATGTCTACAGCCACCGCTGCGCACACCTCCTGCCTGCAAAACATGCCCCAAAACCCACACTCCCCGATGCATCCGTGTACAATTCGATTTTTTTCAGAAGAGACCGCTGCCCCCCTGAAAAAGACACGTTCATTGAAATCTCTAAGGGAACGTCTCCCACACTTCTAGGTCAGCCTTCATGGGTGACGTCACCCTGATGAAGTGATGAGGGGACTTTACCCCACAGGTTGCTTTTGCCAGGAACCTGCTAAACACCCTCCCCATCAGAATCACTCTGCATGCAAAGTTAAGTTGCCCAATGAGAGATTGTAGAGTTCGCAACGTAACCTTCTTTGCCTTTCGAGCCTCCTCCATAGCCTGAAGGAGCTCCAGGAGTTTATCCTACGGCAACCTACATTCGCCCTTATGCAAATCAATCTCTAAACCTAAAAAACTAAGGCAAGTGGTTGGTTCTACCATTTTTTTCTTCTGCCCTTGGGACACCAAACAGCCTGGTTACCCATTCTAACATTCACAGCAACAGATGGCAAGCGTCGGAACCTGCAGGGCCAACACAAAGAAAATCATCCAAATAATGCACAACAAACCTGTTAGCAGCCTCCTCCTTAACCACCCATTCAAGAAATGTACTGAATTTCTCGAAATATGCACATGAGATGGAGCATCCCATTGCCAAGCATAAGTCAATGAAATATTGGCCATCTAAAAAACAGCTTAAAGGACCACTATACTGCCAGGAAAACATACTCGTTTTCCTGGCACTATAGTGCCCTGAGGGTGCCCCCACCCTCAGGGACCCCCTCCCGCCCGGCTCTGGAAGGGGGAAAGGGGTAAAAACTTACCTTTTTCCAGCGCTGGGCGGAGAGCTCTCCTCCTTCTCTCCTCCTCCGTTCCTCCTCCTGGGCTGAATGCGCACGCGCGGCAAGAGCTGCGCGCGCATTCAGCCCGTCGCATAGGAAAGCATTTACAATGCTTTCCTATGGACGCTTGCGTGCTCTCACTGTGAAAATCACAGTGAGAAGCACGCAAGTGCCTCTAGTGGCTGTCAATGAGACAGCCACTAGAGGGAATAGGGGGAAGGCTTAACCCATTGATAAACATAGCAGTTTCTCTGAAACTGCTATGTTTATTTAAAAATGGGTTAACCCTAGCTGGAACAGGCACCCAGACCACTTCATTAAGCTGAAGTGGTCTGGGTGCCTAGAGTGGTCCTTTAAGAGATGGTGGCACTCTGGATGAATGGACAATAACCTAAAAGCTGATTCCACATATGCCTTTGCCATAAGTGCCTTGTTTCCTGTTTTCTGAACCAACTCGACCGCTTGGTCGAACGATGCATAGGATACTGAGCATAGGTTCCTGTTAATGTCGTCATTAACTGATGACGCCTTGGGGTATGACAGATGGTGCATCAGCCAGTACTTAATGGCTTCCTTTTTAGGAACAACACCTAACAGCGAAATCCTAAGATCAGGGATGGAAGGGGTGCAGTAAATGGCCCAGCCATCCTCCCTAACTGAACATCCTTGTCCAATTTTTGGCCAACTATGTTTGGGAATTCTGGGACCGATTTTAAGTTGTGGAAACGACGCACAACCTCCCTATTTTGAAATGGAATGAAAAAAACATTTGTAAAACCATCATGCAATAGTATAGCGTCTTCCTGGTTAGCGCAATGGTTTAGCCAAGGTAACATTGCGCTTACCTTCACTGGAGTTAACCCCAGTGGAAGCTGATGCACTGTGTGCACTGATGTGTTTCCGGCGGGGAAAGCCTTTCCTCGCTTGAAATGTCTGTTGTAACCATGTGTTCCTCCGGAGCCAGTGCATTCATGCTTGAACTTGCCCACGGCTCCCCACTTACAATGGCCTTCAGTGAAGAGCCAACAAAATCCCTTTTTGGTTACGCATGCCCTGGGAGCTGTTTTAACTTCAGTGTGTATATGTGTGGCTACATGTGTCTTTATGAGTTTCTGTATGACTATGTGTCAGTATGAATGTGTTTGTGTCTGTATGTGAGTGTATGACTGTCTGTATAGGTTTGTGTATGTGTATCTATTTCTTTATGTGTCTGTATGAATGTGTGTATGTGTGTTTGTAAGGCTCTGCGGGGGGAGAGGAGGGGAGGTAGCTAAGGTTATGAAAAGAAAAGTAATCTCTTTTGGTACTAAAAAATGGCATATTCAGGATTTTTTTTTTTGCATATGTCTTACATACCCCTAAAGGAACAATTTGGAAAGGGGC